CAGCTCTTGAGTAAAAACAATGGAGTTAAATTCATTTCGGGGCATTTGTGTTCCCTCAGGATGAAGAGGCAGAGATAACAAGTGACAATGCTGTACTTTGTACTGATTCCTTCCATGTGGTGCTAAAACCTTCCATTTAGGGCCTTTCAACAATCCTGAGGAAAGGCTTTCTCTATTTATTTTCCCCCCAGCTGGTGTTCTTGTGGCTGAGAACTAGTTTTCCTGGGGGGTATGGGAATTACCTCTCCCCCAGGGGCTATCAGGAATCTGCTATCAGGATGCAGCCTCCTAAAAATTTAACATTACTGTGCATTAACCTACAGATCAGAGAACATATTCTTCCCAGACTCTCAGTAGGAAAAGCATAAAAACCTTGGGGTGTGGGGGTGGGGTGGGGGAGCTGGTAGTCCTTTTAAGAATTTATAGTAATCTAATGCAATTATACCTCTATTTAAGTATAATAATTTAGTGAGAAAAAATACAGTGAGAAGTCAGAGAAAGACATGATGTTGTGATAGACCCCCCCAAATTTTTTTTTTTTTAATTTAGAGACCTGGCGGGGGGGGGGGGCTGGAATTGTGGCTCAGCAGTAGAGTACTTGCCTAGCATATACGAGGCCCTCAGCACCACATAAAAATAAATAAAATAAAGGTATCGTGTCCAACTACAACTAAAAAATAAATATTAAAAAAAAAAACAAGAGGACAGGGTTGGTAATAATGGTGTCCATGCCTGACCTGGGACTAACTTTTTATCTTCTAGCTCTGTACAGCCAACTCCTACATGACCCTCCAAAAGACCCTAATTTAAAAGGTATCTCCCCTTCCCCACCAGTAATTATCTTGCACATTTAGGAACCAGGGTCATCCAGCATAAGGAACTTTTAATTCCACAAAACACTGCTGTAGCTCTCCTGAATGAAGCTTGTGGGAGGTACTCCACTTCTTGCTGTGAAATAAAGCAAGGGAAGTCCCTCCTTTTCAAGCCTAGCTGGAGCTAGCTTCACAAAGCATCAGCAATGGCCACATGCTTGAGTTGTAGGGTCCAAGGGCTGGGGGTTGGCTCAGCTATAGAGTGCTTGTCTAGCACACTGAGGCACTGGGTTCAATACCCAGCACTTAAAAAAAAAAAAAAAAAGAAAGTCAGGGTCCCGTGTATCCCAGAACCTGGTAAGGGTCAGGCACAGAGCTTTTCTTATTATTTTTTTTAATTATTATTTTTTTTTTTTTAGTTGTAGATGGACACAATATCTTTATTTATGTGTGTGTGGTAGGGATTGAACTCAGGACTTTGTGTATGCAAGGCAAGTGCTCTACCATTGAGCTTACAGCCCCAGCACATGGCACGAGCTTTTTTGAGTATATTTTAAAGAAGAGGGGAAGAGAAGGCAGGGTGAAAGAGAAGCTTGATTTTAGTAGAAATGAATTTGATCCTGTGTGCAAAATCCTAAGTCCAAAGTCGTATGATGTCCTGACCGCTGTCCCTGGTTAGCTCAGCCTCCCAACCCACTCAGCAGCAGCTTCCAACACTTACCTCCCCAGCTGACTCTAGGACTCCTTCCCAGCTTGTTCTCTTTCTCTCTGAATCTCAGACTGACTCCCCACCTAATTTCTTCACCTTTAGCTTTAAAAGGTTTTAGACTTCCTCATTCTAAAACAAGCCTGCAGGGCTGGGTTGTAGCTCAGTGACAGAGTGCTTTGTGTAGCATGTGAAGTCCTGAGTTCCATCTCTAGCACCACAAAAAATAATGATAATAATAAATAAAGCCAGGCTTAGTGGTGCATGCCTGTAATCCCAGCTATTTGGGAGGCTGAGGCAGGAGGATAGGAAGTTAAAGGCCAGCTTGAGCAACTTGTAGAGACCCTGTCTCAAAATAAAAAGAGTTGGGAATGTAGCTAAATGGTAGAGTGCTTGCCTAGCATGTTCAAGGCCTTGGGTTTAATCCTCAGAACAACAACAATAATAAAACAAAACAATCCTGGCTTCTCTCTTCTCTCTTCTGTGTCCCTATCTCTCTCCAGCAACTCTCTTCTCTGCCCTTCCCCCACACCATGATACACTAACTTTGGTCCCCAGCCCTCCTACTACTCATTTTCTCACAACTCCCTAAGGGACTAATCAAAAACTCTCCAGTGCTCTTCTGGCTTGTCAACCTCACCTGCCTGCTAACAAGACTCTGCTTCCTTAACACCACTGCTCTCCTGGCTTGCCTCCACCTATCCCTTAAGTAGAGGTATTATTCCCTTCTGCCCAGGTCCCTTCATTCAATATCCCAAAGCCTCCCGCACTGGTGCCTCCCAAAGCTGCATCTCCAGCCAGGAGCAAGTGGCTGCCAGGTCCCTGGTGCACTGGAACCCACTTGGATATCCCAAAGGTGGCCTCAAATCCACCTGCTCCCCGTAATTTGGAGTCCTGCCGACAGTGCCTTCTCCACCATATCCAACTCCGTCAGTTCTTCCCATCCCTGTGCACACTGCCTTTGCCCATCATTCCAACCTCTTCATTGGGATCCCTGCCTTTGATATGAACCTCTCATCTGAGTTGGTGCATAAGCTGGTAGGAAGGACTGGTAGTGGAGGTTGTGACCACCCAGCAGGCTGTATCAGAGTAGGAAAGGCAAAGATGACTGGGATAACAGAGGGCTAAATGGCCCCAACTCTGCCCTGCCTGTCTCTACCACTGCCTCTCAGCCACCCCTGACCCACTACCCACTCAGCTGTCTGAAGGGTCTTCCTCTGACGCAAATCTCACATGTCTGGGATTACTTTAAATGCTTCGGTGGATTACCAAAATTTCGTGGGTCCTTAGGATGTATGACCCTGAACTGCCTAATTCCCGCTAGCACTTTCACACCCAGAGGCATTTACAATTCTATGCCTTTGCCTAGGCTGACCCTCTACCTGAAGTGCTCTTCTTTACCTGTGTAACAATCACCCTTCATCCAGGGAGCATCGGTTCTTAAGTCAAAACTGTCTCAGGTCACAGATCAGGAAAGAGTCTAAGTCAACACCATTTCTTTTCCTCATGCAAAGAACACTCTTTGGACTGTTGTGGCTTAACTCAGTCACAGCACAATGATCATTACAAGGTCTTGTGTTCAAAATAGATGCTTCTCATGGTAAAGCAGTGATTCATCTGATTTTGCACCAGAGAATCTGCATCTGGAAAACACCCAACCTCATATCCTCTCCCTTTCCCTGTGCATGTCTGTCCTCCCCTGGACTCACAGTCCTGAATGGCTCCCCCAGGAAAACCTGTTCTGGAAGGTTTGGGACCATCACCCTCAAAGGTGTGCTCCATCATTCCTGACATTTCCCCCCAAACACTGCCATAGGTCCACAAAGCCACTTGTTCAGAAAACAGACAATCCAGAGAGGAACTAAAGTTGCAGGAAGACAGCAACTTTCTGGAGGCCACAAAGCACTTTTGTGGGGGTGGCAGTCAGGCCCTGGGGCACTAGGACCAACATCTAGGGATTCCCAGGCCAAGCCTCCTTCTGCAGTTCCATGGCCTGTGATCCTCTGTCCCAAATGCCTCACATAATTAGAAGTTATAATCCTGTAATTCCATGATGACATCTTTGAACTTAAATATACTGCAAAACAATTTTTTAAATGCTAAAAGCAACTTAACAAAAAAGACTTTTTCCCACTCTGTCCCCACCGGTTTCCAGATTCCCCCTCCTGTCCTGCTGTCACTGCTCCTCACTAATGAGAAAAAGCCCAAGTTGTCAATATGGAGTGGACGAAGGAAGATGCCAAGACTATTGGTGAACTGAATGGCTAGGTTTTAAACAATTAAGAATTGATTGTTCTGGGGAAAACAGTTTCACTTCCCTATTTGTAATTATGATCAATCTGTCATAAAAATAACAAGGACAATCTCTCAACCCACCCAGTGATCTCAGGCCAAGCTCCAATGGCTATGTTTTGACTCACCCAGGACCTGCAAGGAGGAAGGTGTGGAAAGTGTCTTTGTGACTCCCGGCTTTAAAGCATCTTTCTAGACCAGGCCCTGGCACCTTTAGGTATCCCAGCGTCCCTACTGGTGAAGTCCTCTGGCTTCTTCACTGGTACGGGCTGAAGTAGGTTTTTTGGTTTTGTTTGGCACTGGGGATTAAACACAGGGGTGCTCTACCACTGAGCTACAATTCCCCAGTCCTCCTTATTTTGAGACAGGATCTTGCTAAATCCTTAAAGATACCTCGAATTTGTAATCCTCCCGCCTCAGCCTCCTGAGTTGCTGGGATTATAGGCTTGCACCACCATTCCCAACCTGGGGTTGCTTTTGATGGACTGAATTGCTATGACCTCCGGGGGAGCAGGCAGTGTTGAGTGCAGAGAAGCGCCTGGACTAGCTAAGAGCCCAGAGCCCGCCGCACTCACCCGCCGGGTTTCTCAGGCAACCAGATAAATCCGCTTTAGCATAAAGCGAGAAGGGGCGAGACCACCGTGCTCAGGCCCTCCTGGGCGAAAACGGACAAATGAGAAGGCGGCACCCGAGGTCCCCTTCCCCCAGCTGCTATCTTCTACACACTAAGAAGTCGAAGAGGAGGGCACTGAAGTATTTTGGAGGGAAAAGGACAACGCCAACCCGCCCGGGGTGGTCTTTCCCTCCCCACTGGCGACCCCGCCTAGCGCTCCGGGGGCAGTTGGCTCGGGTCGCCAAGCGCCCGGAGGCCGAGGGCGCCAGCGCAGCCAGTCACAGGTCCGTCCTCGGGATTCGCGGAAGCACCCTTCAGACCCCGGACTCTCGGCTTACACCTGCTCAGGGGCGGCCCCCTGGACCCGCCCTCCGCAGCCGGGCTGCCACCTGTTCCGGGCGCCCGGTACTCAGCGGCCCGTTTTCCATCTCCCTCCCTTCTCTTCCCGCACCAGACCAGAGCGCCTCCCCGTCCGGGCCTCGCCGACCCCGGACGCGCGCTCCCGCAACCCCCCCACATCCTGGGGGTAGGAGGTCTGCGACCCTCTCAGACTCGCCGCCCACTCGAAGCCGCCCACCTTTCGAAAGTAGTCGTCGTTCTCCTTCTCCAGCGGCTGGGGGGCCGTAGGCACCAGCGCGTGGGTCATGGTGGCGGCGCGAGCGCGGACGGTGGACTGAGGCTCAGCGACCGCCGCGAGCCCCAGAGGGCGCCGGCCCCGCCCCGCCCCGGAGCCCGCCCCGCGACCGCCCCTCCAGCCCCGCCCGAGGCCAAGTCCCGGAGCCCTGGAGACCCGGCCGGCCCCGCCCCGGCCCCGAGGCCCCGCCCCCAGCCCCGCCCCGAGAGTCTGCGGGGTCGGAGCCGCGGTCCTTTCCAAGTGCTAGACCCCCCCCCCGAACTAGCGCCCCGCCATCCCAAGATCTGGGGCCCCCGTCGCGCCGCCCTCAGGACTCAGAGTCCAGAGGCCCTAACCYGAGCTTCGTTGTTAGCTCAACCCTGTGAGCCCGGCATGGCGCCAGGGACAGTGCAGAGGGTCTCAGCTGCAGCAGTGAGGCGCAGGCTGGGAATTCGCCCCTGGAGCCCTGGGAGTAAATGCGGAGGGCTAGTGGTCTCTATCCCCAGGAACACGGACCAGACCCGACGCCACGTCTGCACCTCTGGTCTCTGGGCAGTGAGGTCAGGCAAAGCTCTGCGCAGAAGGGGACCTTGGGGCCGAGTGGGGGACTCAGCGCCACCGAGCGCTGACTTGAGCTAATGTCGCTGTGACCAACCTCAAAACCCCCGAAGCTGGGACCAAATGTATATCTGGGGGGCGTTGAGCGACGGAGCCCTCCACGAAGGAACTTCGGGRGGAGTTTTGTGCCCAAGAGACTTGGCGGATATCTTTGAGAACCATCGATTCTCCCATCTTAACCATCGATTATTCCAAACCTCAGTTTTCACATTTGCAAAATGGGGGGTGATTAGTCTTTCTCAAGCTGGTCGAGGGTATTATGCGTTAAAGGGTAGAGATGCACTTAGTTTTGGAGGAAAAAGGAGGACCCCTTGGGTTAGGGTTCGCACTTGTCTGTCCCCTCCCCACCACGAGAGGTTAGACAACTCCGGGGTCGAATAGCCTGGCAGAACCTGGAAGCCCGAACCCGGAGTCCCCAATCCGCGGAGCCAGGCCCCTTCCCATCCGAGTCCTGCAGTTACTACCTCCCCCTCCCCCAACCAGGGGACACTTCCGCTGCAGTCCCAGAAAATGTCCCAGGTAAAACACAAATCTATTTTTAAATCAAGCCAAGCGTTTCCGTATGTTTTAAGTGCATTAGGGGTTGTTTGAGAATTTTAAAACAAACAATGGCAACAACCAAGTAAATGTTAAAAAAATAAATGATTAAAATTTTAAATCCACCTGGTTCCTGCCGGGCCCGTGAAATTTAACAAGGCGTTTTTCAGAAAGAGCTCATTAATTCTAGAGCTTGCGGAGTACGATCCAGTTCAGGTTGTTTGGGAAAATGATTTAAAAAAATACTTCCCTTCTCTGATCAAGAGCATCCTGGGCTAACTCTCCAGTACTCTCCCTCCAAAAAAAAAAAAGAAGAAGAAGAAGAAGAAGAAAAAGAAAAGAAAGAAGGAGGGTGGAAAGGAAGAAAAAGAAAAAAGAAAAAAAAAGTTGGGTGAGGTGACGTCCGCCTGTAAACCTGGCGACTGCGGAGGTGAGCCAGGAGGATTCAAGGTCAGTCTGGGCAATTTAACCAGTCCTGCCTTAAGGGAAAAAATAAAACAAGGACTGGGGTCTATCTCCGTAGGTCGTAGAGATCCCCCGGGTCCAATCCCAAATTAAAAGAAGAAGAAGAAATCTCCCTACTCTGTTAAAGTCTGACGCAAGTATCAGGCTAATTTCAGCATACGCCTGTCACGCTACATTTCCCTGGAAACCTGCTCACCTGGGGCTGGAAATTAAAATAGCCATTTGAGACGCAGCGCGGTGGTGCAAGCCTGTGATCTCAGCTACTGTGGAGGCTGAGACAGGASGGTCCAAAGTTCTAGGCCAGCCTGGACAATTTAGAAAGACCTCATCTCAAAATGGGCTGCGGATGTAGCTCAAAGGGAAAGCATTAATAGTCTTCTGTAAGTTATTTGTTTTGTTTAATTTTTTTATTATTTTAAAAGGCAACTGTGCCATAACCATAAGTTTAAAAAAAATCAAGAAAAGGAAAAAGAGAAACCAATGGTTTTTTGTCCTAACAAGAGAGACTTATA